ATTCATGTGTATTTTAGTTTATTGTTAAATCATTTAAAAAGAATTAACGAGACCTCGACCACATTCTGATCCAAAGTAAGGTTTGCAGTGGTCTTGCATGGTATTGTGGTAATCTTCCTGTGAAACAGATGATACTTAGTGCAGTTGCTGCCCCTACCCGGACGGGAAGTATTTGTATATTGGATTATTGCCTTCGATTTGAGACGCTGACTGAGGCAGTTGTGATTAGCGGCATAAACGAAGATTTACCATGTACAGAGGCCCATAAAGTGCAAGTACTCTAAGTGTATTAGTACGTACGAAAGGTTAACATCAACCCAGGTAGTTTGGGTTTGTTAGAGAATGATAATTTTGCAAACTGCCGGTAAATGTAACAGTCGTATGACGTCTCCAAATTTAGTAAAAAATATGCGGCATGAGTTTTGAAGATTACCTTATGCATTCCGTCCGATCTTCATTGGACTCAAGTTCTTCGTCAGTAAATTTTGATGATGCCAAAAGATGTCGACCATCATGATCATGTACGTCGGATGACTATTTGGCCAATCGGATGGATGTGTTCGCACCAGTGCATTAGCGAGGAGGGGCTCAAACCCTGATGCAGAAGTTTGTGTTCATATTTCTTCTGCTTTGTTGTACTGTTGTACTCTGCTTCCTCTTGACCAACCACGTTGCTTCAATGTGAGCAGACAAGTGCTTGATTGCGAGCTACAGGTCGTGTTTGGCTTCTACAGAGGAGGACACGTCTTCAGACCGGCTGAACCGTTGTCGGTCGCTTGCCAGCCACTGATGTTGGCATTGTTCCTTTAGCGGAGATCCGCTCTGCTGGGGCTTATTTGTGTCGCCTGACGTTCACTGCTGATGTCTTTTAGAGGCATGAAACCGTGATCTTAGTTGACCTCTCGCTAAAGTTAGCACTCCCGTATGTTTCGTAGACGAAAGACATCGGCTTCTCTAAATCGAGATGCCCACGTGCGACATCTTTTTTCTAACCTACGGAGGATATGTAGCTAAATAGCATGTCT